ATGGTGAGAGTAGTGGATAAGAATTCCATCATGAAAGATGAAGGTAAAGTTTTTAAATATTTACATATTTTACATTTTTAATTTGCAACAGTTCTTGGATTTGTAATGCTTCAATTTTTTGGATTAAATTTAAAGGTTGGAAAGTCATTAAGAAGAACATTTCCTTTGATCGATGCTAAATCAGGAAGTATTGAACTTATTCTTGAAGCCATCCCAAGTCAACCATTTAATGATATTGCCACAAATCAAAATAGAGCAATTTCTGAATTACATGACAATGCATTCATGACAGTTGGTCCTGTAATTGGTACAGTTACAAGTAGAAGTGCAAGAATTTTGGTCGAGTGTTCGAAACCTATTCATTTAAACATGGAAGTTTTTGGAGTTTGTGAGAGAAGTCATTTCAGTGTTGAGGATTCGTTTTTCAAGAAGAAATCTAACAGTGCTCATTCGAAAGTATTGAATAATTCACTCATGAAAATGAAGAAACAAGGCATTTGTTTCCAAAAAACAGTTTCCATTGAAAAATCGAATATTCCTTTCGTATTTCAGTTAGATGGATTGAAACCTGACACTGTTTATAGAGTTGAGTTTACTAACATTTGTAATAGTGAAACTCGTGTTGGAATTATCAAGACAATGATTGATGAAGAAAAATTAGCTCAAATTCCAGATTCATCTCACAAGTTGACCATTAATTGTGTGAGTTGCAATTTTATTGAAAAGAGAGAACCTGAAAAAGATACTTGGGAAAGAATGAATGAACAAATTGATAACACAGATGTTCTTCTTCATATTGGAGATCAAATATATGCTGGTATGTTATTTTACTCCTTAATTGACAAAATTCATATTTAATGATTTATTAGATTATGGACATAATGCATTTGATGAAGCAGTGAAAATTTGCAATTCAAGAAATAAGGTTAGTGAAGAGGAAGAAGAACTCATTAAGGAAGAGTTCAGAAAGTATCACAGATTCAATTGGAATCATATTGCAACTAGAAATATTTTGAGTCAAGTCAGTAATCAAATGATTCTTGATGATCATGAAATTAGAGATGATTGGGGATCTAATTTGGAAGATCAAACTCCAGGCAGTATTCCTTATTACATTGGTTCATTGGCTAGAGAAGTTTATTGGGAATATCAAAGAAGTTTGAGATGTGACGTTTCTAATAAGGAAGAACTATTCAAAAAGCATGAAGCATATTATAATATCATTGGAGATACTGGAATTTTAGTGTTGGATTTGAGAGCAGCTAGAAGTTTCCTGAAAATCAAACAGGAAGCAAACTCAA